TTTATTCACAGCATTCATTTAAACTTGAGCACTACCTTAATATTTTTTAATTTAATATTTTTATACTTCTAAAATAAATAATTCTCAAGTCTACAAATTTAGAACATGGGTTTATGCTTACTGAAAAGTTTATGAAAATATAAATATATACAAAAATGTAGCAATGTGTTGAATATTTGCAATGCAAGCTATTTTGCGTGAAATGAAAAATGAAATATTAAACCTTGTAATTTTTGCAGCTTTGTGCCATAAGAATATTGGTGGAAGTAGGCCATAGTGACTCATTTATTTTTTCAAGAATTTAGAAAGCATATACAAAATTTTTTTGTTCTGCTCAGTCAGCAAGATATTCACAGCTATCTGTAGCTCTTTGTTTTGGTGAATTATTGGGTTTTCAATATTCTGATAGTTAAGAAAATGATTCAGAAGTGTTTACAAAGAAGTCTTTTCTCTGACCACCATGACAGCTTGTCCTCATCAAACACCGAGGTCAGCACGTTTGCACAACTAGAGCTAAGAGAAGAAACAAATCACATTTCTGGTGTTTTTCTAGCAGGTGTGTCATCAATGCTAGCTTTAAGCTTCCCCACGCCCTGCTTGCTTTGACATGAACCCAGCCCATAGTAGGCTTCCGACTGGACCTATGAAGTCAATGCGTATTGAATCAGAATTTCCATGAAATTTGAATGAACTTCTGAATACAGTTACAGCCTCTTTATTTCTTTATTTTCTTTCTTTTTAATTTCTCTATGCCTTTGTAAAATGTTTAAAGCTATGGAGAATCTGTGGTTGGCACCCCAGCATAGACCATCCCCCTAATGGAGGAAATAAGAGTGTTAAGGTTTTTTAAAATTAGTTTGTCTTTGAATTGGCCTGTAAGACAAAAGCATGGCAGAGACACTACATGTGAACAGAAGGCTGCTGGGCACAGGTGAAACAGAAAACTGAGCAAATCAGAAGAGATGTTCACAAGGACCAGTGCTTCTCAAAAATGAAGTGGGTAAAGCAAAAATGTGTGGAAAGCTACAGACCTCAAAGTACAAAGGATTGTAATGATTTTCCTGTAATGATCTTGTTTGTTCCATGCATGGATAAGCAACATCAGCCCAAGTATATTGCTTTTTATTGAAGAGAAGTACAATTTCAAACCTCACTCTTAGAAGGGATAAACTCAATACTATAATTTCCTGTTTCTCTGTATATTGCTGTGCTTTGATATAACAAAAAAAAGGGTGTTTCACTAGGAAAAGCTCAACACACATTTTTGTATCTAACTTGTCTTGTAATGCTGGTAGCAATGTTGGGAAGCTGATTAATACATTCAGAGAATCACAGAATCACCTGGGTTGGAAAAGATTCAAAATTATCCAGTCCAGCTATTGACCTAACACCACCTTGTCAACTAGACCATGGCACTTGGTGCCACATCCAGTCTTTTCTTAACTCCAGGGACAGCAACTCCAGCACCTCCCTGGGCACCCTACTCCAATGCCCTATGACCCCCTTCTAGGAAGAGAAACCCTTCCTTCAATGTCATAGAGTTTAAGTCACATTTTAGTTTGCTTTTAAACAGTAGTACAATTGATTTAGTACAATTTATTTAAAAACAAACCTGCAACAAGAAACTGAGGAACGTGATCATTGTCACAAACTAAACCTGCACTAGGCCATATATTTTCATCCTTTAAACAAATAAAAGGTTTTGAGAGGAAAAAATCCTCCCACTGGGATTACAGTAGTCATAAAAGTGAATTATAACCATTTCTTCACTAAAAGTAGAGTAACTTAGGCCTGCACAGTGGAATAATGACCATTCACAACAGGGAGTTAAATGAGCTGGTCACAGTCCAGGAGCAATGAAAACACGAGTTCCTGTGGCTGTGAGCAGTGTTGGCAAAGCCAGACCTGTGGCCCAAAAAAGAGCAAAATACAATATTGCCTCCAGCAAGTTTCCTGCTCCGTGTCATTATTGGGAAGAGCAGTTTTGGAAGGCCTGTGCACTGAGCATGGCACCAAGGCTCCAGCAGGGATGGCTGCTTTGGCACAGGCAGCACCCAGAGGTGCCCCACGGCCAGGGCTGTGGGCTGTGCTGGACATACTGGTGTGCCAAACACATCCCATTGCGCCATGGGAGGAGTTAAATGGAGCCCACTCTATCGTAGCTTCTACTCGCCTTTGGGGGTGCTGGGCAGCTTCAAAATAGCTTTTCCTAAGAATGAAAATAAATGCATGTGATTTGAATATTCAAATGAAGCCAACACATTTATCATGTCAGCTTTCCTACGCCATACGGCTTGGTCTGCAAATTCAAAGTAATTTATACATATNCAGGTCTGGTTTTGTTTTCATTGAAATTAGCAGAAATCAAATCTGACTGTTCAATGAAAATATAAACTCATTGCTTCAGCCTAGAGGAAAACTTTATGTTTTGGAGAGCTTTTGTTTTTTGTCTATCAGTCTATACTTCATGATATAATATATATTCATTATTTAGAAAAATGTACAATATTCAGATATTTTTGTGTAGAACTGAGGCAAGATGCTTAAGCATGAAACTCAAGTATCACTAGAAAACTATCCAAACTGCCTCAAAGGTCAAAGCAGCACACAATATAATAATGAAAAAGACATTTTATGGTTTTCTGGGATTGGAGGAAAATATATTCTGTTAGATGTTGATTTATGGATCAAGCTGGCATTAAAAAAAGCAAACCAGATGATGCCATTCTTTTTTCAGAGAGGCAATTTTTTGATTGTGTTCTTAAGAAAAGTAATATATTTGTATGCAATTCAAAGCTGCTACAATTATATTTGAAGTGCTGATCTTCCAAGTTCATCTCACCCTCTTCCTCTTCAAATTACTAATTTGCCAATAGTATATCTTCATTCAAGGAACTTGTAAATAAGGCCTAAGGATATTAGGGAAAGATGTTCTGTTTTCTGGTAAGGAATTATGCTTTTACAGTTTAACCTCTTCAAACGTATTAAAGACACCTGCCTACATAAATATGCACTTTATGCATGCATTTATTTTTTTTAAATTAGAAGCATGAAATCATCTTAATAGACACATTTTCTTTTTTTTTTAACCTAATGAAATTTACGAATTGATGAAAGAAGCCATAAACATTAGGAACCAGGTATTTAAAACATAACTCCAATACATTCACAACTCCTTGAAGAAAAAATTTGGAGAAAAACCTAAAGATCAAAAGAATTATATTCTCCTCTTGTGAATAATAATTCTGGATTTTTGTAAATGTGGCTCTTATAACCAGAGATGCTCAAAAGCACTGAAATATTTCAATCTCAGGATGTCAGACACTAACCCTAATTGGAAACAGAAAGCAAGCTGTTTGCAATACTGTAATAAGCTGTGGCAATTTTGTTATTTTAGATGGGAATGTTAATGATGAGCCACAAATGCAAGTTGTTACAAAGCCTTTGAGAATAAAGCTGTATGCCCTATATTCTCCTCCCATGCTGTTCCAGTTAAAACCATACATGCGGAAGGACAAATGAAAATGTTGCCATGGTGATCAGAGCAGTTACCAAATCATGTACACTGTAGGAAGGATTCCCTAAAGAACCTTATTAAGCATTTTGTTGCTCTTTCTAAATAAATATTTTCAGAAAGCCTTTTTTTATTTTGCTGTCAATAAAACAGATACTCAGTTAGCTAAACCCTATTTCTCTACCCCCAAAATAAAACACACCATACGTTAAGAAATATTCTTGTTAAAAGTTAGGAATGGGATTCTTAAGCTGAAAACTTTGAAATAGGAACCAAGGATGAGCCTACCAAAACTAAGACCTGTTCAAGACGCTTGAATGTTTTTCAGCATAGGTATGTCAAGTCTGCTAAGATACTGATGTCTTCATCTGCCCAGTTAAAATATCAAATCTTTGAATGAAAGACATCCCAAAAGCCTACTGATTAAAAGGAATATGGTTCTGTAGGAATTTTTTACAATAAAATTGCACATGAGACATGAGGTGAGTTCTGCCAGCACCAGAATCACCATCCAAAGCCCCGTCTCATGTGCCCAGACTAGTAGCTGAACACAGCCAAGTAAGGCACATTATCCAAGTTGAATGGCAAAGGAAACAAAACCTGTACAATGCAGACATCTTGTATTTCCACTGCACAAAACAGGACAACAGATGTCGATGGAAACTGCTAAAAATAAGCTGGAGAAGGTACATGCACTTTGGGGGAAATGCACATGGCTTTGTTCACCAAGCAGCCCTTTTTAGCATCTAAATTCAGCACTTAATATCCCAAGGCCCTCAGTTCCTCAGCTAGTTTTTTGCCTTGCAGGTATTTTAGATGTTTATGAAATACAAGTTTGTGCAGAAGAAGGGAGGAAGCTTGATGTGTTCTGGGTGGCTGTTCAGAGTCTCAGCTCAAACTGGTGCAGTTCTAACAAAATTATCTCCTGCCTCATGGGGCTGGCTGATACACTGTACATATCAGCTACTGCAGTGAGACAACTGCCCTAATGCATCAGATTGGAAGTTTTATTTTTTTTTTAACGAGAAGAACAAAAGAAATCTTTAAAGTAACAGTTGCTTCCATCAGGTGCCTTAATTTTACTTCATGAAGAAGACAGTCTTATTTCACACCTTATTCTTTTCCTCTCACTGCACTTTAAAGTCAAAACAATGAAACATCCCAGAACCTCCACAAATTACTTGCTGACAATTAAACTAATCCGTGGCCACAAAATATACAAACATAGTAGCTGTCAACAGCACAATGGTCTCGCTATATATCCTAGAACAACATTTATTTACCATTACTCTCCATCCCCATAAAGTCCTACTCTAATGGGCAAAAGCCTGTAGAGGGCTGCTCAGAAAATGTAATTCCCCCTCCCTGTGCTGTTCAGGGCAGTTTTACACCCCTCCACTAAAATCCTTAGGAATACTTTTTTCACAGTCCATTTTACTTTCTAAATAATTGAAATCATTATCATTCAAAATAAAATGCAAGAAACCACATTTTTCTGCTGTTTTATTGAAGCAATCCTGGTGTGTGACTATACATCTTCATTCTGCTCGTAGTTACAACGGCACTTTACTAGGATTGTTTTTGTAGTCAAGTTTCTTACAGTCTTCAGAAAACATATTTATTGACACCACTTACTGTATAAGACTGATCATTCTAAACATTGTAAATCACTGGGACTTTTTCCTAAATAGTGCTACTTGAGGAAAAGGTCACTACTCTCTTTAGATAGAAATTTGTAAAGGCAATTGAATTGAATTCACCTTCCAAAGAAAATAACAATGTTAAAAATAGCTTCAAGAATTGGTATGACTCATTTAGGTCCCAGAAAAATCTATGACTGGCAAAGATATCTACAATTTGATACTGTACTTGATATTTTCATTAAGACCACAAGAATATTTATGAAGAACTGAAGTTAAACTTGTACATTGCTCTGAAAGATAAGCATTACCTTGAATTTTTAAGGGTTTTTTTTTAATTTTAAGGGTTTTTTTAGCAGAAATTGCACTACCTTGCAAAAATATTGTAGTAATGGGGTAAGTATTGACATCTGAAGAAAAAAATGCTAAAAGCATGCAACACTGATACCAACTTTTAGCAGATGACATTTTTAATTGAAAACTGACTCAAAGGATAGTACAAAAGAGCTTCTTCTCCCTAAAGGGATTTTCAGATGCAGGTACAGGAATAATAAGGGGATCTTCTCCAATGTGTGCATCACAATATGCCAATAAATCTGCTGCAGCCTTGGATACCTAATAGAAGAGAAGAGAGAACTACTGTAACACTTAATTCTGAACCAATTTGAATTGCATAAATATTTTTCATAGAACAAATGATAATGGAAGCTATCTTAAAACAGGGAGTAAATTGCTTTATCCTTTAAATATTAGACACATCTCTCAATTTTCTCTTCCTACGCCTAGTAATCCTTTCAAACATTTTATCTAACACAGTGACATAGAGTGACATCACCCACGTTGAGCTGTTCCTCTCCATCAGAAGGAGGTCAGGAGCACACATAACATTTAAAACATTAAAACATTTATGTGTTAACCACCCATAAGCAACAAGGATTCTCCTTGAAGTGTCTGTTTCTATGGAGAAACCTGCTTCAGCTCTTACTCCATTCATTGGTTTTAAGATTTTCCACATACTCTCTCTACCCTTTGCTCCTCTGGTTGAAAAATAAAAAGTTCTTCAGGCACATGACCATGGGATTAAAAAGAAATAATAAACCAGGAACAAAACTTGAACACCGTGTGTCATAGCTCTCATTTAAGCTAAATACTGCTCTTTTCAGTGAAGCAAGACTAATGTCTTCTGCTCAGTAAATTACTATTAGTAGTCCTTTATTCACAGCATTCATTTAAACTTGAGCACTACCTTAATATTTTTTAATTTAATATTTTTATACTTCTAAAATAAATAATTCTCAAGTCTACAAATTTAGAACATGGGTTTATACTTACTGAAAAGTTTATGAAAATATAAATATATACAAAAATGTAGCAATGTGTTGAATATTTGCAATGCAAGCTATTTTGCGTGAAATGAAAAATGAAATATTAAACCTTGTAATTTTTGCAGCTTTGTGCCATAAGAATATTGGTGGAAGTAGGCCATAGTGACTCATTTATTTTTTCAAGAATTTAGAAAGCATATACAAAATTTTTTTGTTCTGCTCAGTCAGCAAGATATTCACAGCTATCTGTAGCTCTTTGTTTTGGTGAATTATTGGGTTTTCAATATTCTGATAGTTAAGAAAATGATTCAGAAGTGTTTACAAAGAAGTCTTTTCTCTGACCACCATGACAGCTTGTCCTCATCAAACACCGAGGTCAGCACGTTTGCACAACTAGAGCTAAGAGAAGAAACAAATCACATTTCTGGTGTTTTTCTAGCAGGTGTGTCATCAATGCTAGCTTTAAGCTTCCCCACGCCCTGCTTGCTTTGACATGAACCCAGCCCATAGTAGGCTTCCGACTGGACCTATGAAGTCAATGCGTATTGAATCAGAATTTCCATGAAATTTGAATGAACTTCTGAATACAGTTACAGCCTCTTTATTTCTTTATTTTCTTTCTTTTTAATTTCTCTATGCCTTTGTAAAATGTTTAAAGCTATGGAGAATCTGTGGTTGGCACCCCAGCATAGACCACCCCCCTAATGGAGGAAATAAGAGTGTTAAGGTTTTTTAAAATTAGTTTGTCTTTGAATTGGCCTGTAAGACAAAAGCATGGCAGAGACACTACATGTGAACAGAAGGCTGCTGGGCACAGGTGAAACAGAAAACTGAGCAAATCAGAAGAGATGTTCACAAGGACCAGTGCTTCTCAAAAATGAAGTGGGTAAAGCAAAAATGTGTGGAAAGCTACGGACCTCAAAGTACAAAGGATTGTAATGATTTTCCTGTAATGATCTTGTTTGTTCCATGCATGGATAAGCAACATCAGCCCAAGTATATTGCTTTTTATTGAAGAGAAGTACAATTTCAAACCTCACTCTTAGAAGGGATAAACTCAATACTATAATTTCCTGTTTCTCTGTATATTGCTGTGCTTTGATATAACAAAAAAAAGGGTGTTTCACTAGGAAAAGCTCAACACACATTTTTGTATCTAACTTGTCTTGTAATGCTGGTAGCAATGTTGGGAAGCTGATTAATACATTCAGAGAATCACAGAATCACCTGGGTTGGAAAAGATTCAAAATTATCCAGTCCAGCTATTGACCTAACACCACCTTGTCAACTAGACCATGGCACTTGGTGCCACATCCAGTCTTTTCTTAACTCCAGGGACAGCAACTCCAGCACCTCCCTGGGCACCCTACTCCAATGCCCTATGACCCCCTTCTAGGAAGAGAAACCCTTCCTTCAATGTCATAGAGTTTAAGTCACATTTTAGCTTTTAAACAGTAGTACAATTGATTTAGTACAATTTATTTAAAAACAAACCTGCAACAAGAAACTGAGGAACGTGATCATTGTCACAAACTAAACCTGCACTAGGCCATATATTTTCATCCTTTAAACAAATAAAAGGTTTTGAGAGGAAAAAATCCTCCCACTGGGATTACAGTAGTCATAAAAGTGAATTATAACCATTTCTTCACTAAAAGTAGAGTAACTTAGGCCTGCACAGTGGAATAATGACCATTCACAACAGGGAGTTAAATGAGCTGGTCACAGTCCAGGAGCAATGAAAACACGAGTTCCTGCGGCTGTGAGCGGTGTTGGCAAAGCCAGACCTGTGGCCCAAAAAAGAGCAAAATACAATATTGCCTCCAGCAAGTTTCCTGCTCCGTGTCATTATTGGGAAGAGCAGTTTTGGAAGGCCTGTGCACTGAGCATGGCACCAAGGCTCCAGCAGGGATGGCTGCTTTGGCACAGGCAGCACCCAGAGGTGCCGCACGGCCAGGGCTGTGGGCTGTGCTGGACATACTGGTGTGCCAAACACATCCCATTGCGCCATGGGAGGAGTTAAATGGAGCCCACTCTATCGTAGCTTCTACTCGCCTTTGGGGGTGCTGGGCAGCTTCAAAATAGCTTTTCCTAAGAATGAAAATAAATGCATGTGATTTGAATATTCAAATGAAGCCAACACATTTATCATGTCAGCTTTCCTACGCCATACGGCTTGGTCTGCAAATTCAAAGTAATTTATACATATTGCAGAAATGGCTAAAGAAAAAAAAATCAGACTCCAGTTTGATTGATGAATTCTATCAGAAAGTTAACACTTCATTAAAAAAAAAATCTTCTAAGGTGTGTGGATTAGAAAAGATGGAGTATATAGGTATCACACTGATCTAACATTTTGTAGAATTACTTTTCCTCTCTTTAGCAAAAAACACATCTGGTTATCAAATTAACAAAAGGGAAAAAATCCAACAAAACACTAAACCCTGATGCTTTAAAGTAATAGTCTCAGGAGGACTGTGAAATTCTACCATTATATTTCAGAATAGCAGAGGTGATAAAAACTGCCAGAGTTAGAATATCCTGTTAGCTGCACTAATAATTATAAGCTTCAGTGACAGGGCAAAATGCTGCAATTACGCTGTCTTCTGCCTAGTGACTAACTACCAGTCTTGCTACAACAGCCATTCTGCTTATCCTTTATATCTAAAACAAAGAGATTCACACACATTTATTGTCATTCTCACTGTTCATCTCTCAACACTATTCAGGACCAGGTAGGAATACTTCCTATCTTCCTAAGGAAAAAGAAAATGGAATGATAACTGATATGCCAAGGGTCTTAAACATCAGAGCACTCTTGCTTTTCTGCTTGCAAAGAGAAGATTAAGTAGTGCTTTATTCTGAGGACAGCTCTGATAAATACCAATACTAACTTTGCTTTCTCAGTTTTACTGCTAGCACCTTGAGCACCACATTTTTCTACTAGTCATGAGGCCACTGTTTATCTGATTTACTTTGGTGTTTCCTAGCTTGGAAGTTGCATTTCCAGCTTCCTACTTACTTCTCTGTTATAACTCTAGCTGCTCCTTTGCCAGTTAAGACAGGTTCAATTATGATTCTTCTGGGATTCCTATGGTTTACAAAAAAAACCCACAGTAATCCTCCTTCCAACTACCAATCAATACACCAATAGCTGCATCCTTCTCTTTCAAGTTGTTCTATTTCTCTCACACCTCGGCAGTGAGTTGTCTTTGTGGAACCTCAGAACACAGCACTGCTTTGCTGCTCTTACTGGCTAGAAAACTTAGTAGGACTTCTTAAATTAATTGAAAAATCCAGAACACAGTGGGGAGTCAGCAACTATCAACATACTTTTAACTACAACATTTTAACTGAGCAGACCCAAATCTTGCTGGTTACAGCAGCTACTGTGCATGGGAAACAAAGTTCCTCTGTAGTAGAAAAATAAACTGGAACTTCTGATTTCCCCAGTCAATAACACAGACCCCTCTTCAATGTTAGCAATGTGATCCTGCCTATTGTGGCAAGAACAACTTGGCTATAGTTATTTGCAAAAGAGGGTTTAATTAAATTATTTGGAAAGTCCTGATCTTTTGTTAAATGTCTACTAGTTTAATCAGATGCAAAACATCAGAAAAAAGTAAAGTAAATTTCATTTATCTACTTGATCATTTGAGTGATGATTTTGAGAACTTAAAATCTCCTTGGAAAGTCTCTTACTAAAATTTGACTGTGCTGAAACATACGTTTAACTGATTCAAGATTAAAAAGCCAAGCAGATTTTGAAGTAATAAAAAGCCAATCAACTGCTTCTCACAATCGCTCATACACTTGTTCAAAAAAATGCTAGAAATCAAAGCATTTTGAAAAGTTGTATTTTATGTTAGTTTTATGTTAGTATAGGAACCCTCATAATTCTGAAACATGTCAGATTTTCTTTGGTGTGTTTTTGGTCCCAGGCTGTTTCAAAAAGTGAAATAATTGTACTTTCAAGCTACTTGTTTTTTAGGTCTGCCACATTTGCTAATAACTGCATTCTTTTTAATTAAACTGACTAAAAATAACCCATGTCTTTCTTGCAGCTATGTCTTTCTTTCATATGTAATTAAGAATGTTATACACCTAACTAATGAAGCTATTTGCATAACTGACCAAATGACATGACAGTTAACACTGCATATATGGAAGCAAGTTTAAGACAATCCACTAAGAACGATTTCAAATGCCAATAAACTGGGCCACATTTTTCCAACCCTTTCCTCTGCCACCCACACCCTCCCTTGCCAGTTCTGTTCATGCAGTTGCAATATGACCTGAGTTGGGACTAACCAAGGCAGACTTTCTTTTACTGCAGGAAACAAACACCTGTCCCTGTGAACAGGTTATGTGATGAATTTGCAACACACTATGAAATAGAGAAACTACTTTTGCAAATTCAATGGCCTTACAAGACATCGCTAAAAACTGCCACAAAACAGAGCAACTGAAATTTCTTTTTCCATATGAACAAGATTGACCACTCATGTGAATTGCACTAATATTTCTGAACTATAAATACTAATTTTCTAGCTGGTGAGTTTGTGATCTGAGACTATTTTAAAAATCATAAATATATACTACTGTCCCCACATGGACTACATGCAGACTTTCAGCACATAGCATGGATGGACAAACAGGCTGAGTTAAGACTACATGAAGATTTTAATGTACAACATTTCTAAATTGTCCTACTGACTTAATAATCTCAGTTACAGTTTGTAACAACTCAGTCACAGTTGTTTGCAGAGAACTGAGTAATTATGATTATTTTTCAAAAGTTACTTTTTAAAGATGGAAGGACAAAAAAAACCTTCTTCCTTGTAGAAACGGGAGTTTTTATCAAAATAATTATTCCCTATTTTCAGAGGCAGAGAGCAAAAGAAATGAGCACTGTTTCCTTAAAAAGTATTATAGCATTATTAGCCTGATATTTCACAAAATTTCAGCCTAGTGGAAAGCAGAAAGATATACAAGAATAATCCACGGGATTTTTTGTTTAAAAAAACCTGAAAACCTCTGTTTAATAGTGCCTTTAATGAAAATATTTAATCCACATGTATTTAGAGGCATGATGAAACAAAATCTTCACACACAACATGTTATCAAATGTGAAAAATCATAACTGCACACTGCAGTCTTACACATTTTTTGTGCAATTATGTCTGCACTGAAACAAAGTAAAACAATTCAGCTTGTCTCATCATTATTCAAAAATTTTGCAGTATCTTAAAGACTATCTTCCAATTCTTAAAGGAGAAAAACCAAGAAACCAGAGCTGCACTTAAATTCCGCTACAGGTGACAAGAGCACCTGTGTACCCGCCAGTTGATTTTAAGTATTTCACAAAATACCACTTTTGATAAATATAACAGACACTCATACAGAGGCAGGCTTGAAGCTAGGCTTTGGAAATTGCTTCACTAGAGTCCACCAGTCAACATGTAACTCACTTACAGTACTGAATATTGTTTCAACACATATTTCTACATTTCAACATTGATTTCTGCATTATTAAAGGCATGCTGTTCCACAAACTAGTCAGTGAATTCAAAATATCAACAGTAAGTCTAACTTTACCTTCATTCTATCCATGTATGCTTCCATTTTTAATTGCTCCACAGCTTTCCTGGCTTGAGAAATACTGGTTGTACTGTTTGACACTAGGTCCTTCATTTTGCTTTTCCTGGAAGAGAAAAAGTTGAGACCATTTAAAGAACAGGTAGCAAATGCAGCAATCACTGAGAGGACAGTTATCTGAATTTTAACCAACCCTTGCCCACCATTTATTTCTGTTCTCTTGCTCCATGGCACCTCATTGTATTACATATTTGCATCATCCATCGTCAGCATTCTGCCTGATTCCTGCAAATGACATACAAATGTGGGGCACATGACCATGACTTCAGTGTGAAAATGGTTGCCCTGGTTCACGTTGCCAACACAGAACAGCTGTTCACAAACAGACCTTGCAGGCATCGCACAGTTTGGCTCCACACCCCAGTTACACCTAGGAACATCAAAACAAGCTCAGAAATGTGTGCAGTGGAAATGAATGCCACACCGCTCTCACCAAGCATCAGAGAGAAATTTTAAGATAGAGAACAAGTCAGAATTCTGACTATCGATAAAAGAAGTTTAGAGATGAGGTAACAGATTTAAGAAGAAATAATGAAGTGGTTTCCAACGTTTTGCTTAGACATCCCCAGCAAAGTCCAAAGATGACTAAACCCAGTACAGTACACTGTCCAGGATAGGAATGCTTTAGTTTTTAAGAGATCTGCAGCTCTTGGGAAGGGACATCTAGGTAAGGCATGTCAGTGTTTGGTTCTGTTGCATTGCTACTCCCTGAGGGATTAAATCAACTCAATATCCAGCAGTCCTCAGCACTGTTACCAAATGAGTTGAGACATCCACATTCAGACCTTGACTAACTTACAATATTTATGCCAGAGGTGTTAGACTCCCTTGTGCTGACACCTCTGTGCAGCACTGGCCCAGCACAAGGAACAGTCACTATTTTGAAGTCACTGGAGGTTGGACTAAGGCCACATGGAAAGGTGATGGGATACAGACGACCTAGACAGGTCCTAGACTAGTTGTTCCTAGACTACCTAGTGAGACTGGATCCTGAGGTTTCAATCAGGCAACGTTCTCCTGTTGTCCTTAGCACAAGTGCCACCTGCAGCCAGATTAGTCTGGCACCAAGCCTCAGAAACCAATACAAACTTCAGCAAAATGCAAATGACACAGGGTGTGAGAGGCAGATGGGACACAGGAGAAAAAACACATACAAGGAGCCATTTTACACTACTGCCAAAGGAGTTTTAGGCTCAGGTCTTTCACAATGAATATTCCAGCTTATTTCTGGATAAGAAACAAACATCTAGAACCACACAAATGTCCCTTCTTGAACCTAGTTAGCTTACCTGATCCAGTCACTGGGGTGTAAGATACAAACAGGAAATAAAGTAGGACACTGGAAACGCTCTTGTAAAAAAACCCTGTATGTACAATGTCCCTGTTAGACTCAAGAGAAGTACACAATTCCTTAGTACAGAAAGAATGAAGGAAGATTTTTTAAACTACTTTGATTTTGCAAAACACAAATGCTCAGAGACAAGGCAAAGACAGTTTTTTCTTCTCACAGCCTGGTATGAAATAGACTGTTTCTAAAAATCAGTAACCTGAGCTGTAAGACAGGATAGTTGACAACAAATGCCATAGTAAGCCATGCCCAACACTAATTTGAAGAAACAATATAATCTTTTTCTTTCAGGTCTAGTATAAGCCAAGGTGGGGAAATGCTACTTTAAAATATATTAATTGTGCCAAACAAAACAAGAGCTTTAACATATGCCAAGACAAAGAACAGGTTTTCTGCATACATGTGTCATTTGAATGGAACACAAGTTTCTTCCTTGTGTGCTCTGATGAAATAAAATCGTGTCAGAACACAGCAGGTTCATTGTCTTCATCTTTGTTTACAATTTTCAACTCCTATTCCTCACAAGGCACAGGACTGAATATATGTGGAGGAACTGGCTTTGCATAAAATGCCATGTACCATACAGAAATCCACAACCAAGCCACAGCTTCCAATCAATTTTGAGATGTGTTTTTACTTGCAGTGGAAAGTCAAACAGCAGAAAGGATGAAAGACATTCACAAAAGGAGAAGGTTCTGAATTACAGCTCATCTCTGGACTGTTTGTTCGACTCAACCCCCTCACTTTTATGTATCAACCTATCCACAAAAATTAGAATAAACACATTTAGCTTTGGTTACAAAATGACACCCCCCCAAGAGTGACTAATTTAAATTTTATCATCTCCACATCTACCTTACTAATGATCACAAAGTCAAAAAAGTCACAGCTAAATCAAGTCAGAGGCCTTTCTACATTTGCCACATACATTTAAATTAAACTGAATTAGACAACTGCAACTCCTTGAACAGTCCAGAGAATTCCAGATCTCTCAAGCTTTTCTGGCAATTCATTCACTCATACTGTAAAAGCTATAAACATTAGAGTCAGACAATTTAAATTGTCACTGGCTACAACAAAGTTGGCAGGAACACTGTTCATAGTACTTCCAGCCAGTGTTTAAGCATTTACATAAGGATTGTGTTAAGTCCATAGTAGAATTTTGAAAAGGCTATTAGGCATAAAAATGCTTCTAAAAATTCAAACCATGTTTCTAAAGCAATGCCAGAGATAATATATCCTTACCTATATTCTGAAACACCAAATATGAAAATTTTAAAAAAGAAAATATGTATCTTGCCTAGCAAAGCATTTCACAGTATCAGAAAACAACCAGAATATGAGGCTTCATAAAAAATGAACTTTAAAACCTGAAAAAAGTGTGGCACTAGGCATTTCAGACACTGGAGAAAATTTCCACTTACCCCAGCAAGAGGTTTGTTTATATTCTGAAGCATAAACATTTATTCTGTTCCAAATCCTGCTCCAACCTTGGCCTTTACATGCCATATTTACATTTAAATATTTAACTACTATATTTCTGGAAGTGTTTAGCATCCATTTAAGTATTTAATTTCTTTTTTTTTTTCCAGACAGGTCTGGTTCCATAATTTTGTGAGACTGACTTCTCACATACCAAGCTACATATACTGCTACCTTCTCTCACACTCTGCAAACACAGCACATATCTGTGCATCATTTAGGGCCCTATTACATATGGTGTGATGTTGACAATGAGAACTGTACTCACTTTCAAACCAGGCTGTGATAAAAGTCCTGGCTGCAGACAAAGCTTTGTATGACACTTGATTCTGTTCTCCTTAGGACCTAGGATAATAACCTTAAGCTTAATATTCCTTAATGAATTAAAACTGTTACATAGAAATAAAACTCTGGAGAGAACAGAAATTTTAATTACAAGAGCATTTGTTACATACCCATCCCCTGGAATGTAAGGAAGCCTCTCCTTCAAACACCCTCTCACAGAATGTGTTTCGTCTGAGGCTGCAGCCTGGCAAATGGATCTGATCCTCTCTCTTAAGGCAACTCCTCTTAAACTGTCCAAGTATTCTCTAAGCCTTTAGTCCCACGGGAAGACACATTTATCTTTATATTGTACCTTGGTGAGCAGTCTACAGGATCTGGTTCAAGGCCCCTGCAATGAGCAGGAACATCTGCTATAACAAGTTGCTCAGGTCCCTGTCCAAGCTGACCTGGAATGTTTCCAGGGAAGGGGTGTCCACCACTTCTCTGAGCAACCTGTTACAGTGTTTTGTCACACTCATGGTAAATTTTTTTCCTTATATCTGGTCTGAATCAACCAACCCTCTTTTAGTTTAAAACTATTACCCTTCATCCTTTCACAACTAGCCCTGCTAAAAATTCTATCCCAGTTTTTCTTTTAAGCCTCTTTTTATTACTGAATGGCTGCAGTAAGGTCTCCCTGGAACCTTTGCTTCTCTAGGATGAACAATTCCAACTCTTTCAGATATTCCTCACAGGAGAGGTGCTTCAGCCCCCTGAAATCCCGGTGTCCCTCCCTGGGTTTGCTCCAACAGGTCAATGTCCTTCCCGTGCTGGGGACCCCAGAGCTGGATGCAGTGTGGGGTCTCACTAGAGCTGAGTAGAGGGGCAGAATCACCTCCCTTGACCTGCTGACCACATCACTTTTGGTGTTTAGAAGGAGTAACTTCTCCCTATCATTTGAATTACCTAAAACCCCTCGAACCAGAAATCCTCAGCTGGATTTGCTATTGCTCGCTCCTGGCTGTTTTTACGTTGGATCAATAGGGGCACACACAGGTCCTGATAATCACTGTAGTTACAGTGACTGTGCTAACGAGCAGCCTACATGCAGTCTACATGTTCCTGCTGCAGCCAGCAGACCTGGATTATATAGGAGCTCATTTATCCAGCGTGTTTTTGTGCAGCACACCGAGTTCACTGACCTGCCCTCTATTGATTTTTTTCTTTTAGGGGAACACCGGCCACGCTAACAAAGAGCAGTGACAGCAACCACACAGCCCCTTTTAGCCCAGCAGTTTCTGTTGACTGGCACCCCACACCAGACAGCCCTTTCCTAAAGCATCACTCCTGAAAGCTGCACAGCGACAGCCTCCCACCCAGCTGCATTTTCTGGCGTTTCGTTTTGTTTACCCTACTTCGTCCTTTTTCTGCGTGCACATAACCCATGTGTGCTGAAGTTCTTAATTTCCCAGGCTCCAAAAAATGCTTGTGAAGAGTAGCTTTTCCTTCTTTGTTTTTACAATGGGTGATTGTACCCAACAGCACTGTAAAGGCAAATTTTTCTTATGGTAATGCAGAAAGCTGCATAAATATTTGCAAGTATAGCTTGATGCTGCATTTAAGTAAGGAGTGCAACCTTTGATTACTAAACATTATAAATGACTGTTAGCAAAATGCAGGAAAAGTCTAAAAACTTGAGTAACGTAGAAACAAAATCGAATTTTCAAGCTCTTGGGAATGGATTTCTACAAGTAACAGGGATGAAAAGCTGCAATTTCCCCCCCTCTAGTTCCAAGTGCAATCTTAAAATGCCATACCATAAAAGTGACCTCTAGAATTCAATCTAAAAAACCCGAAACCAAATTGCTGTCTTAATTTAAAGTGATGGACCTGAAATTACTAGATTAGAAAACCTGGGGTTGAAAACTCCAAAGAACACCTTCCACACAAGCTCTGTACTTCTTGGACCACACAGTTAACCCAATCATTCAACTAAGTCCCAGTGACATTAGCAGGAATCATCCCTGGATAATGACCTGCAAATCACATCCTAAATTGAGGAAAGATCGTTACATTTCATTATCAACTTACAGGAACATAAACAGCAAAATTTACAGCCTCACAGCTGTTCAACATCAAACTGGTACACCAAAGAAATTACAAGAAAAAAACAAGAAAAATAATCGGAAAGAAACCCAACTTCCCCTGCTATCTCAGTTCTTACTCTAAGATTTACAGCAACTGATGCAGCTCTGTAAAGAGAGAGGGAAGGTGAGGAATCCTTTTCTTTCTCTATCTCATGCCTGCATAATGAAATACAAGAAAATTACTACAGCTTTTCACTCCATCTCCTACGGAGAAGCTTAGTAGTACAAGCAAAAATGATTAGATTAAAGGCAAGAACTATTGTTCACGATAAGGAAAGAATGGAATTTTCATACCATAAATGTGATGACTTTGAAAATAACTTCTCCTCATGTAACTGCAAATCAGCAAAACTCCAACAGCTCAGTTCTCATCTAACTGTATATCCAGTACTATATCCAGTCCAATTGCCAAGTTCCAAAAATTCTTGCCATCACACCCAAATTTTTACTCAAAAAACATCATCTTGCTCCTCAACATTAAAAAAACAAATGAAACAATGGCTGAACTAATGTGATATTTCCCAAGGGCACTCTTTTAGTGCAATATTATTTATCATGAGCATACAGGTTATGTGAACATATAGCCCAGCAAACCATCAGAGATTTGGAAAGTCTGAGGTAGAAAGATTACCCCTGGCTACTGTTTTACCTCTTTAGCTAATTTTGAAAGATAGCTGTGAGCTTTCAAAGAAATACACAGGGAATTTTGATTATTCCACTTAAGCCCCGCTTAAAACGTATTTGAACAGAATTGTAACCTACAAGATAGGGAGAGCGCCTCCGGGAAGCTCGGCACCGCATCACCTGCAGGGTAGAAGCGTTTTCCAAGTTGTTATTCCGAGTTTTCTGTCTCACTGCACTGCCCTAATGGCTCTGCTGTGCAGCAGCTCCCAGCACCACACACACATCAGTGATCACCGCCGGCAGCAGCCGGGCAGCGGGAGTTATTCCTCCGTCAGCGCGAGCTTGGCAGCAGGAAAAGCGGCCACTTCCCTGAGCAGGCAGCTGACGGAGGAGGAAGGAGCACGGCGGGCAGAGACCCCCTCCCCGCCGCCCGCGGGATACCTGGGCTCGGGCCGGGCTCTCCGGAGAAGGATGCTCCCCGCCGGTGCCAGCGACAACGGAGCCCAAACCCCGGCGCCGACTCCTGCGGATCCCCGGGAAACTCCGGCTCGCGCGGGCGCCGCCGGCCCTTGTGTACCCGCAGCAGCCCGCGGGAGCACCGGGATACCGGGTGGAGCGGCCAAGGGCTGCCCACGACACCGGCGCCCACAGCGAGAGCCCCGCGCGGAAACCGCGACCCGCCCTGCGCCTTCTCCCGCCCCTCCCTGCACCTTTTCCCGCCCGGGCCCCCGGGCACTCCCTCCCGCTGTCCCTCCCCTCCCTCACCGTGCGGGCGCGGAGGCTGCGGGCGGCCCGGCCCTGGCACATGGCGCGGCGGGGCGGGGCGGCCGCGGGCCCCGGCGCCACCGCCCTCACGCTCCGCCTGCCTCTGTCCCTCCGGATTCCTGCTGCTGCAGCCGCCTCCTGCCCCGGCCCCGGCAGGCGCTGGGCATCGAGCGATCATCCAGGTATTCTCAAACAGGATCACAGATCACAGTAACAAAATCAGTAGGTTGGAAAAGGCCTCTGAGATCATCGAGTCCGACCTTTGATCGAGCACCACTCTCAACTAGACCATGGCAATAAGTGCCATATCCAGTCTTTCCTTAAACACATCCAGGGACAGTGACTCCAGCACCTCCCTGAGCAATCCACTCCAAAGTTTAATCACCTGTTACGTGGAAAAATTCCTCCTACTGTGGAAACTGAACCTGCCCCCGGCACAGCCTGAGGCCATTCTCTCTCATCCTGTCACTTGTTACCTGGAAGAAGAGCCTGGCCCCTACCTGGCGACAGCCTCATTCCCGCTGGTTATAGAGAGCAGTAAGGGCTCCCGAGTTTCCTTTTCCTCAGCTCCTGCAGCCGCTCCTCACAGGACCTGAGCTCCCTTCCCCAAGCTAATTGCCCTTCTCTGGACGTGCTCCAGCACCCTCAGTGTCCTTCCTGAACTGAGGGGCCCAAAACTGAACCCAGAATACTCAAGATGCAGCCTCACCAGTGCCGTGCACAGTAGTCACTGCCCTGACCTTACTGGCCAGGCTGCCATTGGCCTTCCTGGCCACCTGGGCACAGCCGGCTCATGTTCAGCTGGCTGCCGACCAGCACCTCCAGGTCCTTTTCCACTGGGCCACTTCCCAGGCTCTCTGCCCCCAGCCTGTAGCACTGTACCTCAAACAGCACAGCCCGAATGACACCGGGGCTTGGGGTGAGAGCCCACAGTGCCTGTGCTGCCCTCACACCGAACCACGGAGGGATGATGGAAACAGCCTGCCGTGAGGAATGGAACTGCTTAGACTTACCTTGTCAGGGCTAGTATGCCACACCAATGCAATTCAGCTTCATACATCAATTTTTATATACTTCTCCCTATAAAAGCTGTATAGGTCAGCAGCATTTAAAAGTGTCAATTAACATTTTTAACTGAAAATTGTCAGCTGCAATAACCCAGTGGCAGGATCAGAGTCTCATTAATTTTTTCCCCAGTGAAATGGCTGTTCCCTCTGGAGGGATGTATGTTTTCTCCTACCTGCCCTCAGCACTTTTTCTCATTCTATCCTAATGGAGCAGAATTTCCAAGTAACATTTGGTTTCTACATGGAAGAGAACAAGGAAGAGTCCCATTTCTAAAGGCGCTTTGGGAGCAAGGACAGCCTCTTCTGAGACCAAGTCAATGGCTTTTGGGGTAATGCCTTGGCAGAAGGAGGTGCAACAGGAAGAAGGTAAACATCACTAAATATAAATAGGTAAGTTCACAAGCTTCCCATAACTAGAGTTCCGGAAACTTCACTGGCCTGTGTTGCTGCCTTTCATCCATGCTCAACCACATCATCGATCTATAAAAAGCCTCATTTCATCGACAAAGGATTTACATGCGCTTAGAGACAAACAGCACATGTTGGATAGCTCTAATCATGAGACCGTTGTCATCAGAATATTTTTATCACTGGATTCTAACAATTTAATGACTTAAGCTAAAATATAAAGGTGAGAAATGACTGTTTTAAAATGTACTTTCATCATATAGTATATAGATATTTCTTTTAAACGGCTTTCTTTTAAATTTGCAAACTCTTACCTTCCGCCACAACCAGGAGTCTCCCCTACAGGTTCTGGGGGCAATACGCATACAGCTAACATAAATTTTTATTCCTTGAATTTACATGAACTTGGCTCTAATGAATCTTATATAGATTTCAGTCAATTGCATTAGAGAATCAGGATTTTTTTTTTTTCTGGGAATGCTAGCTCAAAGCTGGAAACAGTAAGCAAGCTTCTGTTTTACTCAACTACTTTCTGCTGTCTAGTCCAGAATAGTTTAAGAGTTTAACCAGAGCAGCCACATTTCATTTTTAATCTTTTTTTCAAAATTATGAAATACACAGAGCCTATTACAGAAACCCCAATACAAAATCAGTGCCTTTCTGACCCTACTCCAGAGCTGTAATGGCAAATAAATCTCTAAACAGAAGTCATTTGTGAGTAGTTTGTAACTTAATACAGCAGCAAAGTAAAAAAAGGTGTCTACATGCAGAGGATTAAATACATAGTGGATAATTTTCAAGGCAAGCAGAGCTTTTTAAATGGTAATTGTTTGATTGTTTTTGTGATAAAGTAGCAGCATATGGAGTGTGACTTCCATTTTCATATGCAAGAAGGAAAAATGCCCAATACAGCTTTAAGCTAAAGAAGGCATGAAGACATTAAAAGGTAAACTAAAAGTTTGTTAGTAGCAAGCCTGGTGGTATTTCCCCCACCACTCCATTGTTATATTTTACTATTATTATATTTTTGCTTAATTCAGTTCAGGCTTTTTTTTCTCTTTTCCTTCTGTTCATTGTCCTGGGTTTGTCTAAGCAATGGATCTCTAAGTGCAAGATCAGGGATCCTGTTCAGTAATGGGTTGGAGATTCCTTCTCCCCACCACAAGTGAATACCCAGCTATTGCCTCCCCTTCCCTTTCTTACCATGTCTCTCCACTATCAGAACATAGGCCTTGCCCCATGAACCTCTCCCAAACCCTGGCTTCCAGCAGAAAGAGCCTCACATCCTGTCAGATGCCTCCCTGAGATATCCCAATCTTCCAATTTCCACCCATCCTTCTAAGAATCCAGAAAGCAGTTTCTTCTCTGCCTTTGCAGCTCAGACAGGTTTTCAGTGAGAAGACAGATGGAAGGGAGGGAAGGAGAATCTGCTTTGAAAGCCATCATTTCATCCCAGTTCTAGTCATGCATCTTATGGGAAGGAAGGACACATGCACATATGTGCAAAGTGATATGCCTAGAGTTTCCCACTTCCCATCTTACACTCACCACCTTCAGTTCGACAGACACAGGATGTAGTCCATAAACAGAATTTTCTCACTCCATAATTTTTAAAATATGAAAGACAATGGAATCAGCATAAACTGATCTGGAGCAAGGAATGAAAGATTCCCTAAAAGAAGAAAGTTGCAACTAAGCCAAAACCATGTTTCTAATAATCTCAAAATGATTTGATACAAAGATCTGTTTATTACCCAACAATGTGACAGTATATATACAAATACAGTGTGGAATGTGACATTTACAGGAAATTTAAGTACATCATGCACAGACACTATTGCAATGTTATTTTAATAGTTCCAGAATATTAAGCTGAATAAATATTCGTTGCTTCAAAAAATCATTTTTACTTTTACATAAAAATATATAATATTGCACTCTTTACAAGGCCAGCAGTTTTGCATATTGGTTTGTAACAAGTGGAATTCTACTTTATAAAAAAATAAGCCTTTGTGAGCAACACCCCAAAACAGGGAGCACAAAAGCACCCCAAAACTACAATGTTTGTCTTTTTTCTCTTAAACAAAGCACATCACATCAACATGAGCCAGGAAGCTTTTCAGTCTGTACTTGGACCTTACATTAACATTTAGATAGAAAAATGACTAAAGCCATCCCATATAATGCTGCTACAATAATATGCAGTTTAAAACTTGATCCATACAGTATGCAGCCACTTGCTTAATTGAACCAACGATAAGCCTCTGTGTCTTGAACTATGAGAATATTTTTCTTAGGTTTTTCCAGTTTGAAAAGTTCTTCAAACAGGAAGTCTCAAGAATTTCTGAAGACTATTTGGAATTTTCAATAAAAGTGTAAAGATTGCTTGTGTGTGTGTGTCACCTTCATCATAACCTGACAATTTCATGTAAAGTTTTCTAAAAGCAGATGAGCCTTAAACATGAGAAGATACAGCACTTTGAATGGCAATAGCAGAACATGTCAGTGATAAAAAAGCAAAGCAATTTCAAAGGAAAATGTAATTACATCAGACCTGCGTAGCATTCTTGCTTTACTGTTCGCATGACTAGTAGACACTCAGTCATGGTGCCTGTTTAGAGGTCTTCAAATCCATCAACTAAAATGCTAATTTTTCATGTGACCTAAGATTTCAAATTTGTTAAGCCGTTCACAGCAGAGGACTATTTTTTCCTCCTCATAAAATAGCACCCAGGAATACACAACAAATTCACATAGTGTATCTGTATGAACCTTTCCGAATCATATGATGCTTATGAACATTGATTATTCAAGCAGTTGGAGTCAAACATTTTACAGTGTATTGAACCTCAATGACACTAGAACAGGAGCACATCTGTGCCTTCTATACCACCTCTTTTTAGAGCTCTGGAAGATAAGCTGTGTGTGTACATAATAGATGTTCTGCCACAGAAATGCGATAGCCAACTATCACGAAGTTAGGGAGTTCACACTTCATTGTGATCTAACCACTGTTTCATGATGCCATGAGGTATCTACCCATAACTAAGACAAATATTTTACTGTCTTCCGTTGCAAAGACTATTACATTAACAGAGAAGATGGCAAAAATTACAAAGATAACAGAAATTCTATTTTCAGCATTATAATACCATAAGATGGTGCAAAAAGCACCTACTAAGTTCTTTGCTTCTCAAAAAAAGCAATTTTAAGTGGTCATTGATTTTTAAGTTTTGGATTGCTTATCCCAGAGCTAACCATACCACACTCAACTAATCAGATATACATATGCTGACATTTCAATAGATATTTACATAACTTGATGCTGCTGCTATTTTACATACTAAGAGGAGGAATAAGCATTATCAATTTTTTTTAAATACTTCTGTCCAAGAAGTGATTAAAAAAAATACTATTGGTGTTTTATATTGCAGCATTGAGCATTTCTGAGCACTTTGCTGGCATGGGATAGTATGACCAGAGCTTCCTGCTGACCTGGATATGCTTCAAGTTTGTGCATGCAATTATGCAATCTTACAAATCTTACACCTTAGGCTGCTCTTTAAAATAAAAAGCCCACCTATTCAGTCATTCCAGAGACATTCAAAGTACTTCAAAGTCCAGTTAAATAAGAGCTCCTATAACCTATTGGGATTAAAGTGCATCAGAGACATGAGTTAGCAGCAGGCCCCGCTGTCACCCAGCTGCGTAGCTGCTGAGGAAGGAGTAGAACATGGGCAGCTTCAAGCGTTGCTGGTCCTTGCGGCACCAGGCGATGACATTCCCATCACTGTTAGCCGTGAACAAGTGATGCCCATCACAGGA